CGGGTCCGCCTCCGCCTCTGCCGCCGACGCGGCGATGCCGCCGTGGTACGCGGACCCCGCCTGGAAGCAGTGAAGGAAGGGGCTGGCCGCTGCGGAAGCGGTCACGCCGCGGCGGTCCGTGCGCCCCCGCCCGCTCCAGCGCCCACCGGAAGAGAGGCGAGGCGGGAGAGATGTGGGCCGCCACGTCCGCCACGTGGATCCCCAGCTCGACGCCTGCAGGGAAGCTTCGTGGCAGGTTCAGCGAAGGCTCAGGCGAGAGACGCCACGTGCGAGCGACGCCTCCGTCGGCAGATGCTTCGATCGAGAGGGCGTCGTCAATGTCGCGCGTCGAGGCGTTGTCGACCGAGACGACGTGCAGGTGGGAGCAGTCGCGCCGCCACGCCTCGCACGGCGGCAGCGAGCCTCCATCGCCGCCTCCGAGCAGCCCCGTCAGCGCCCACTCCTCCTTTTGCGGGTAGCGGCACGGCTTGACGCCAAAGTGGAGCTGGTAGGCTTCGAGCTCGGAGGCGTACTCGCCGACCGGGCCGAGCAGCTCGATCAGCGCCGCCTCCCCCTCGTTGGACGACGACAGCGCCGCCACCTTTGCGAATCGGTTGCGCTTGCCCGCCTTTGCCTGCGTGGCGGGCTTCACGCGCACGATCACGCTCTCCCCGCCCGCGAAGAGGAAGGTTCCCGGCACGCCATCCTGGCCGTAGCGGTTGCGGTCGTCGAAGCGCAGCACCGCGAAGCGGTACGAGACCGCCATCGGCGCTGCAGAGCCCAGTACAGGGGGCCCAGTGCACAAGAATTTTACTCGCCGCCCTCTCTCCCGAGGAGTTGGGCATGGGACCACCGGAGGTGGAGTCAACAGGAGCAGGCAGAGTGGGCGAGACGGCGGCGGGGCCGCGGCCGAAAAAGGCTAGGAGGGGGGGTCGGGCCCCGCATCCGTTGCCCAACCAGCGGAAAGCGAGTGGGGGGAGGACCGAGGGGATAAGAGGGCCCCTCCAGACCGAGGGGGGGAGGCCAGACGGGGAAGCCTCGAGGGGTGACGTCGAGTGAGGATGTACGTCGTGTGCGTGTCTGGTGTTTATTAGCTCCGAGTAGAGGGGGCGCTCCGCTGCTAGGGGAAACCTGGAGCGCGGACTAACCCTCGGAGACCCGTGTTTACTTTACGGCCCTTTCCCTGCGAACGCGCACCCCCTGGGCTAGGGCTCTCTTGCCCGCAACCCGATGCCAATCATCCGGCCCGCTGGGTGCGCTTCTCAGCTCCCCGGCCCTGGGTGTGCGGTTGCCGACTGCACTCCAAGTGCTCCCAGTGCTCCTCTCATCACAGCAGACCTGTGGTGTTGGGTGTGAGGTTGTGGCGGCTTCCATCCCAAGGGGGGGAGCTGAT